CGTTAACACTACACCTCTGACAAAAATCCACTTATCGACTCTCCTCAATAGAGCGATAGGTTCATAAAATACTGTTAGGTTAACATCACACCTCTAACAGTCAAACCCCCAATGAACTTGTTAATCCTTTTTCAACAAGAATAGCAAGTTGTCATTATAAAACCCCAACGGATTAAATATTTTCTGGAATTATCCGAGTGATAATAAAGAAAATTTCTGAATTTCACTCTAAGTGAAAATTCATGCCAAGTTAATATTACACCTCTGGCGCTTCCAACTTTCTTTCAGTGTTTCAAGTAACACAGGAAGAAATAATGACAAAGTCTACGTATTCAACATCGTAGCACCAAAATCCATGCCTTTTACGCATGGGGGACTTTATCTCGATCCCTAATTAGAGATAAGCCTACACCTAACACGCGTTGCCGGTTAGTCTTTTCCCGTGTTGGGGTAATGCTGCACATTTTTAGAAAATATTCAGAATACAAAATCAACAACAAATAATAAAAACTAAACAAGTTAATGCTCACGCTCAACATCCTAACTACAAAAATTAACATTGAACCTATTAGAGTTAACAAACAAGACCTAACATTTAACCATTAGACTTGACAATCTTTCTATTAGACTTAACACACAACCGCTTAGACTTAACATTCTTCTCATTAGACTTAACATTCTTTTTATTAGACTTAACATTCAACCGAATTGACTTGACACTCTTTTATTAAACTTAACATTCTTCCCATTTAGGCTTAATATTCAACCGATTAGACTTAACATTCAACCATGTAGACTTAACATTCAACCCATTAGAAATAACATCCTATCTATTAGACTCAATATACAACTCATTAGACTTAACATACAACAACTTATATTTAATATTCAACTCATTAAACTTAACATACAATCCCTTATACTTAACATTCAACACATTAGACTTAATATTCAGCCTCTTATACTTAACATTCAACCAATTAGACTTAACATACAACCATTTAGAGTTAACATCCAATCCATTAGACTTAACATCATGCCTATTGAACTTAACATCCAACTGCATAAACATAACATATGAACGCGTATATTTAACATGATCACACATAACAAGTATATGTTTAAATTTTCATCATGTCATGATGTTCAAACAAAAATTGCAAATTTCTTTTTAAAAAAACTGATAATTACAGGTCTTGTGGAATTGTTGGGTGTTATGGGAAGTCTAATCCTCTGCTTTTTGAAAAGCTTTCTTATGAATTTCTTTATACCAATATGTAGGCTGTCTAAAAATCACAATAGATAGCTGATCCCCATCAAACACCGATGATGGAAGTTACAATCTGACGACTTCCAGAAGGCTACAATTTGAAGACTTTCACGTAGATCGCTGAAGGTTACAATCTAACGACCTTCCACGACAACTGATGAAGGCTCTAATCAACAACCTTCACAATCAACATCGAGAGTTACAATCTGATGACTCTCACATATCGAAGAGCTAAAGCAAAGATTACAAAATGACGATCTTTGCAAAACTTCGATAGAAAGAGACTACAAATCGACGGTTTCTTCAAATCAAGACGTGGATGTCCTCCCCGCGTACCAGCATCAAGATGCGCCGCGTTCATAGCCACGAACGCAGCTCAAATGCAACTCCAAAAGTTGCAAACGCAGCTTAAATCGCCACTGGACGCAGCTCTATTCGCTGCCCGACGAAGCTCAACATCGCTGCCCGACGCAGCTCCACATCGCTGCCCGACGCAGCCCAACAGCTCCAATCGCTGCCAAGCACAGCTCGAACCTAGCTCCAATCGCTGCCAAGCACAGCTCGAACCTAGCTCCAATCGCTGCCAAGCACAGCTCGAACGCAGCTTATCAACCATCGCTGCCCAACGCAGCTTATCAACCGTTGCCAACGCAGCTCATCCATCGCTGCCAAACGCAGCTCAATCACCGCCAGAACGCAGGTCAAGGTTCTGACTCATTCAAACGTGATCGTAACAACTTCGAAGCTGTTCTTCACCCACGATTTGAGGAGTGGCTTTAGTGGGTTGTTACACCCGACTAATGGGGTAACTAAACCCCCATTTAGGCGCGGATTATGGGAGCAGTTACACCCCTAATCCCCCTATAAATAGCAACAAACTCAACAGAGTAAGGGATCTTGGCTCGTCAACAGGATCCTTAGAGCATTTCTGGAACTTTGGAGATTGGCAACAAGATCTTCTTCATCCTTGGCTTATAACCGACTTTCGGTTAAATCAACTCTTTCATAGAGTTTTAAACTCGTTCAGAGTTCTCCACAACGTGAAATCGTGAGGAGAAGATCATGTTCCAGTGAATTAAAACGTCGGATCGTCAACGGAGAGCAAACTCGACGCGATCATTTGAGGGAGGCACTCCATCGCCACCGTGAAGAACCCAGAATTAAACAAAGGGGAGAATCTAGATCATTCTCTTCTCTTTTGTAATCAGGAAATCCAATTGTAACTGAGATTAAAGGAATACAAATCAATTTTCCTTCGTTTCTTTTACTGCAAATTTTTCCACAAACACTATGTTTTTTTATTATAATTTAAAAAGATTAAGTTAACCATCCCCCCTGTTTGGTTAATTCTCAAAAAACCAAAAAATGGAAATGAAAACCAAAAAATCTCAAAAAGTACAATTTCACATATTTCCATCCCTAAAACTCACCCACAACATCTAATAAAATATTATTTTTATCCAACAACTCATCCACCACATCTAATAAAATATTATTTTCATCCAACAACTCATCCATCACATCCACCACATCTAATAAAATATTATTTTCATCCACAACATCACTCAACTCATCTCATCTCATATTTAAAAATCACTCACATCATCCAATAAGATTGTGACAACTCATCTTATCTCATTAACATTTTATTTCTTTGTTTTCCTCCCAAAAAGCTAGAAAAACAATTTCCTTAAGTGCGGGTCACATCATCCAATAATATAATGATAACTCATCTCATATCATCTATTTTCTTATTTTTAAGAAATAACCAAACAAAAGAAAACAACCTAATACAAGAAATAAGTTTCTTATAATTCATTTTCTTATTTTTTTTCCGCCAACCAAACAACATCAAAACAAGTTTTCTGAAAAAATCACTCACATCATCCTATAATAAGGTGACAACTCATTTCATCTCATCTCCATTTCTTTGATTTCCTTTTTTTTTAGCCAACCAAACGATCCTAAAACCTATTTTTCTTATAAATAGGTTTCCTTTTCTTTGATTTCTCTCTTTTTTTTAGGCAAACAAATAGGCCCGTAACTTGGACAACAAGTCTTCATACTTCCACTGTGATGTAACATCATAAACAATTAATAATTTAAAGACCAACATTCAAACACGTGTATATGGCACATGCATGAACCGTGAAATTCTCCATGCTCCTCTGCCATGGACAAGAGGGGCCGCAATAAATATTAGATTAATCATGTGATCACTAACTTGAACTTTTTGTTTTCATTTTGCTTTAGCATATAATAGTAAGTGAACCTCAAGCTAATTTCATAATCTACATCTTTGCATGTCCCAGTAGATATCAAATGTGCAACATTACAACAGCACAAATACTTAACTTTTTGGCAAAGGGAAAGCTTGAATATATTAAAGGACAAATTTTGAAAAAATCGACCTATTTACAAAAAAAATTTGTAAAAAAAAACTCATTTACAACATATTTGTCAAAATCGATCCAGTTTCAACCAGATAACTAGGTCGATTTTGACCAAAAATTTACAAAACTTCACGGGACTCGTGAACTTGAAGTCCCATGAAGTTTAGTTAACCAGTTTCAGCCAGATGGCTGAAACTGGGTCGATTTTGACAAATATGTTGTAAATGAATTGATTTTTACAAATTTTTTTGTAAATAGGTCGATCTTCAAAATTTGTCCTATATTATATCTACATGAGACTAACATTTATTTGCTAAGTTTATTAACTAGTTAGATGCGTCTAAACTTTCTGATGATGGAGATATGTTTTGCTACTCTGCCTTTTATCTCTTTCTCTCACTCTTAACTTTGCTCTCCTCATCTCTCTCCTGTCCTAAATACATCCAAAAACAATATTTAAAATGTATTTGATTGGTAGCTTATATGATATTTTTGAGAGTTTCTATGTCATCTACCTCTGTCCATTATTATTATAAACATATTAGAAAGACTTATGGAGACCTCTTTACATCAGCTGATATTGACTACAATTATAATGGGTGATGTGCTCTTTTGATGTTGGACCCTTTTAACTACCGTTGGTCTTTTAGTAAAACATCAAATAACAATAGCAATGCATCTCAATGGGATAAAGTACAAGAACCTTATCCTAATAGGAAAGGATATATACATATCCATATCCGCTTACCCATCTCGGATACAGATACGGATACGTATATACATCGGTAAGAAAAATTCATATTCATATCCGCCAAAATTGGATACGGTTACGGATATAGATGCGGATATATAATCGGATATGCATGCGGATACAAAAAGGATATGAGAAAACTAGATAGTATTCAGAAAATATAGTAATGTGATACAAAAAGAGTTCGTTAATATGTTCATTATGATTGAAAAGCTAAGATTAGACATCTTAATCATCAAAATTAACCACAAATCCATAATCTAAGAATCGAAACTATCGAAAGAGTATGACCAATATGTATTCGGATATTTTCGGATACAGATACAGATATTTCACTACAAAACCATATCCGTAACCATATCCTATCGGTTATAGATTTGAATAACCATATTCGTATCCTAACGGATACGGTTACGAATATTTCCTCGGATACGGACACTGTTTGGCACCCCTATATGTGAGCATTAGCAACTGCTATATCGGACGGAGGACCAACTTCCACGTATAACACAATTGTGCGGGAGGGCTACCCACCCTGAAGAAATGACGAGAATGCCCTTCATTTGCCTTAGGCATTTTTGGTCACCGCTCACGCTTGTTTCATGTGCTCGCCCCTGATCTTCACTCTCTCTCCTCTCTCTCTCTAGAATTTGCGCAGAGTTTCAGATCCAAAATATCTGTTCTGGTTATCGAGATCGGAGGAGGTTCGGGTCGGTCCAATCCCTATCCGATCCGATTAGGTAATGAATTCGTTCGATCTCTTGCTTCGGCTTTCTGCTTCAAATTCTTTGAGAATTATGCGTTTTTTTATATGAATTTTGAGCAGATCTGGTGTCTTTCATCTGTGTTTGTTAGTCTCATTATTCTAATTTGATCTTGTGGGATGTTCATGCTCTAATTGAGTTGAAGTAATTATGCGTTTGTTATTGTGGATCGTCAATTTATTTATTAGGGGATCGTGTAAGAGAAGTATGAGGAATAATTGGAGCTCAATAATACTCTGGAAAACTTTCAAAATTTTTAGTCAATTTGAGCAGGTAAGAGGTAAAGAGGATAATTAACTGCGGAAGAAGATTCCTTCTGATAAAAATTTGAGGGATTTGTTTTGGTTTATGCTTGGGAAAGGGAATGCGTGAAGTCTCAATCGAAGCACTAGGTTCTAAACAACTAAACAGTATGAAATTTCTCATGAATGTTTAGGTAAGTGATAGCTTTGAGGAATTGCGGCAAGAGAAACGAAGAAGGGAACCCGTGAAGGATGCAAAAGCTAAAAAGGTTTTGATGAAATGCTGATATGCGCTCGGTTCTCAAATCTCTAGTCCTATTATATATCTGGAATTTGATGATGCACAACATCATTGTCCATTGATGCCTACAAATTGTGGGGTGCTGAATGTGGTTTCCATTGGATTTTCTCAAGTTCTCCTTTCCCATCGTGTCCTCTTCCTCAATTTTTGGACTTCCCCTGGTTGTTTTTAATGTAAGCGTAGGTTATTTTTACTAGTAAAGTGTGTTCAGCAATTTTTGGACTTCCCCTGGTTGTTTTTAATGTAAGCGTAGGTTATTTTTACTAGTAAAGTGTGTTCAGGTGCACCTAATTCGTGCACTCTGCTTTTTAATGTAAGCGTAGGTTATTTTTACTAGTAAAGTGTGTTCAGGTGCACCTAATTCGTGCACTCTGCTGGATTGTGGCATTGGAATATCGTTCTTCTCCAAGTTTTCCTCTCCCGTGGTGTCCTCTTCAATTTTTCAACTACTCCTAGTTGTTTTTTAATATGTAATGGAGGTTATCATTAATAGTAAAGAGTCTAAATGCACCGGATGTGTGCATGACACATGAATGCTGGGTGCTTAAGTAGTGGAACTTGGGGGGTGCTAGACGTCTTTTTTTTGGGATTTGTTCAAGTGTCCGCGCTCATAGTTTCCTTTTCCTTCAATTTTTGGACTACCCCTAGTTGGTTTCTAATATATAATTATATATAGTATAGGCTACGTTTACTACAAACTAATACTCTGTTGCATGTATGACAAATGAATGTAGGAGTTCTGAAGTAGTGGAACATGGGAGAAGTTGAATGTTTTTTTTCCTTCAAGTTTTCCCTCCTATTAGCTTTGAAATATTATAAGTTGTGATAGCATTCTTGAGGCTCTAAATGTGATTTGTATAGGTTAGAAATAGGGTAGAACACCAAATAATAGTTTAATACTCATGAGAGAGGCAAACTTGAAAAAATTCTAAATAACTCATATTTAGTGTGATGTAGGATGCATAACGAGTAAATTCATAGAAAAGTTGGATCTTCACAAGTCAAAAGCGGATACGGATGAATTATTGACTGGCCGCAGAGAAACAACCATATCTCCCAATCCGAAAGGTGAATTCTAACATATTATATATGAAAATTGCCTATATCGACGAGACAGAGTCAATTGGCTTGGCAAAATCCCACAATCCTATCAGTAACACCCGTTTTTAGCAGGATTTTAGAAATATTCAGCCTTTAATTTATTTTTAGTAATAAAGTTAGAATCAATTTAGATTAGAAAATAAATTCAATTTTGATTTAATTAGGACTAATTTATTTTCTTTATTATAGGGAGTCTTTTAGGTAGTTTTAAATTGTTTCTTTCATTTAGGAATTCTGTTCTTATTAGGAGTAGGTTTTGTTTTTCTATTTAAGAAGAATGATTGTAAACATTATGAATCAGATAACTTTTATCAATAAAATTTCTCTTTCAATATTTTCTTTGTGGATTCTAAGCTCTTCGTGGATTCAGAGATCGTTCTTTGTGGATTCAGAGAACACTCTTGGTGGATTCTAATGTTATCACTTCCGTGCTACGTCAATTGGTATTAGAGCCTTGTTTTCTGATCCGATGGGAGGCAATGAAGTCCCTATTTCTCGAACTAAGTTCGATGAGTTGAAGACCGATATTAATCAGATGAAGACTGCTTTAGAGCGACTTACGTTGTCAGTGGACCGTCTGAACACGGTGAGAGTTTGAAATCGCGTTGATAGTCGCCAACGATGTGATCCGACTCCACATGATGACTTCAACAATGATAATGACCCTAAGCAAGACCTTGGAGTTGGGAAGAACACTAAAGAAGCAATAAAAAAAGAAAAACCATCTCATGAGTACAATATCTTTCGCACGTTGTGATGCAGAAGGTTTGTGATGTTATTATTGATAGTCACAGTAGTAAGAATCTTGTTTCTCGACGTATGGTGAATAAGTTAGGTTTAAAAACAGAGAAACACCCATATCTCTACAAGATAGACTGGATTCGCAAGGGTAATGATGTGCAGAACGATGAGATGTGTCGGGTACTTTTTTCTATCAGCCGCAGCTATGTTGATGAGGTGCTGTGTGATGTGGTCGAGATGGATACTATCATATGCTTTTAGGTCGGTCATGGCTATTCGATATTAGAGCTACCTACAGAAGCAGAGACAATGCTTGTATCTTCAAGAAGGATGGACGCAGAATTGTATTTGTCTCTTATAGAAAATGAGTCATCTAAGATAAATGCTACTGAGGTAAAGAAACCTTTGGTGGCAAACAACATGGCTTTGGCAGAAAATATGAAGCAATTTGAAGCGATCTATGACTTAGTTGTAATTGGAAACGAAGAACTTGCCTATGCCAAAATTTCTCCTAAGATGCAAACACTCGTTATGCTTGAGATTCATGATGGAGATATGATAGTGAAGATGGATGATATGCATGATATTCCAAAAGGGGTTAAGAGTGATATTGCACATATTAATGTTGTCCTGATGGAGGAGAAGGATAAATTAGAGAGTGAGACAATTGATGATGTGTGAATTGCTTGGTGAAGGTAGGGGTGTTAAATGAGTGAGTTTGGGTATTAAATGGGTGGGCATATTTTGTTCATTTACCTATTTATCCATTTATGACCTATTTAATATTTACTAAATGGGCGGGTTTTTGCCCACCCATTTAATAAACGGGCCACCCATTTACCCATTTAACTATAGTAGCTATATATATATATAATACTTTTGGAGTGTTTTTTATAAACTTTTAGGGGTTTTTTTGTAAACTATTAGGGGCTTTTTGTAAACCTTTTGGGTTTTTTGCAAACATTTTTGGGGCTCTTTGTAAAAATTTTGGTGGCCTTTTGCAGATTTTTTGAGTATTTTTTGTAAACTTTTTGGAGGGTTTTTACAACCTTTTGAGGGGTTTTTTTTACAAAATTTCTAGGAGTTCTTTTTCCCAAATAGAATCCTTTGAGAATTAAAAACTAAAAATAGAATTCTTATTCAACAAATGAGCCAGAAGAATTCTATTAGCAAATATACAGATGATGTAATACATAATATATTAGGCTCTGTGTAACATATATATTTACTATAATGAACAAAAATGTAGATTGTAGAGTTTAATCCAAACTTCAAGAGCTAAAACCAACAATCGCTACTCATGACCTGATGCTAGGTTTATGATAAAATACTAATAAATACAACAATATATCACATGAGAACATGATACAAATCACATTAACACAAACTTTGTTTTACAGTTGCTTGATTTAAGTTCATAAACAACTTCAACTAACTTTGCTTCGGAATACAAAAGATGCTTTCATAGTACTAATAGATTGTGATACATTTACAAGTCATATGTCTAAAAAAGGTTAAAATAAATAGTATAATCAGTACTAATAGATTGCGATACACTGCTTAGCAGCTTCCACAAAGTCACCTTGCAAAAAAAAGATAATCAAATAAATTTAGGAGCCATTGATATATAAAGAAACAAAAATAACAACAAAAATGACTTGCACACAAATAAGAAAAGATGCCAACAACTTAGTGTAGGGCGTATTGTGATAAATGTTAGATAAAGTAAATGGATTACAACGCTAATCACTTTCGCCTTCTGATTTAGAAACATCTAGATTACTGAAATCGTGTACTAATAAATTTCCTTCTTCAATGTCTGCTAGAGCTGCCATTAATATTCTGTGATAAAATATGTAGTTCACAACAATAAAAAAAACAATAAAGAAGAAAAAAGAAGGCAACTCACAAGGAATCTCATCTAACCAAGAACCCGTCCAAATTTGAGCTTCAGCATTCTCCGAAAGAAGACGATTTTGATACTTGTCAAGCACACGATCCACAGTGCTGAAAGTCGATTCAGAGTCCACAGAAGTAATAGGGTTACTCAATATATTTTGAGCCATCATCGACAACTAAGGACGCTTCTCACATTCGCCTTTCCAATACTTAAGAACATTCAACTGATCATTTTTCTTCCAACTGACTAATTTTTCATCTAGATACTCTTCTAACTGAGACTTGGACGTACTGACTGAATATAGTTGACTCTCAAGCTGTTCAAACTCAACCATCTCATCATTAGGAACATCTCTAAAGTTCTCTTCACCACTACTCTCAGCTACATATGTACCTGGAGATGCTCGCTCATATTCTTTGTAAAGACTTCTTAGTTTCTCTAAGATAGTCAACACATAATCAGAACTAACTCTTAATTTCTCAAAACAAAACTCTACATACTTCACTTGTATCGGGGGTCCAAAATGACCGCAAATGACATAATAACACTGTAACATTCCCAATATTTATCAAAATTTGTTTGCATATCATTTGCCATGGATTTTATATCTTGATCATCACTTTTCATCTCCTCCATTATCTCCTCCATTATGCATTTTTGAATCTTAAAAACTCCACCAAAATATAAGTTGGCAGTTGGATATTTACTTCCAGAAAAAAGAGTGGACACTTCATAAAAAGGTTTTAAAAACTTTATAATTTTTTCAGCCTTTAGCCATTCTTCACTTGATGGCAAAAAAGTAAAATTTGGATCAATCAACTCCAAGTGCTCAAATGCCCGACGAAAGTTCAGAACACTCCAACATTAGAAACGTAGAATTCCACCTGTTGGACACATCCTGCTCGCTTTACCTCAACAAGTTTGTGTAATACACTCTACAAACTTCTTTTTTCTTCTAGGACTCTTCACATACTTGATGCATTCTCTTATCTTAGATAATGATTTATCGATAACCTTTAGCTCATCTTGCACAACAATATTTAGAATATGAGCACAATCGCACATGTAAAAAATCATCATTACTAACAAAATGATCTTCTAAAACTGAACGATCTTTTAAAATTCTCATGAAAGCATCATTATATGATGCATTGTCCAAGGTAACAGTAAAAATTCTTTTTTCAATACCCAAATCCTTCAACAAATGAAATAGCTTCTCTACTAGAATTGCTCCACTATATGGGGGTGGAACATGAGATAGAACTAATATCTTATTCTGCAACATCCTCTACTAGAATTGCTCCACTATATGGGGGTGGAACATGAGATAGAACTAATATCTTATTCTGCAACATCTAACAGTCATCAACGTAATGTGCGGTGAGAGACATATAGTAGTCGGAGGTGGAAGAGGTCCACAAATCCGTGGTTAGACAAATTCTACTAGGAACTAGCTTTTAAGCTTGTTTTAGATTTTTTTTCTCTTTCTTGTACAACTTGGTCAAATTTGTTTTAGCAGTGTTCCTAGAAATATGCTTGACTTTAGAATTTAGAAAACTATGCAACTCACAGTTTCCTCGATGCTCGACAAAAGTGAATGGATAACCACGCAATGCAATTACTCTAGCAAGCATTTCTCTATATTTTTCTTGATTTAATGGCATATTTTTCCTTGAAGAATCAGCCTCATCTAAGTTCCTTTTCGGGTAAGAATCCATGTGCCTCAACATTGTCTTAGTGCCGTGACTACCAACATAAATATGATTACACATTACATTGAACTTTAGTTTTCTCATCATTATCGGTAGGTAACTTTGTAAAGTGATCCCAAACTTTTGATGTTTGTCTTCTTTTAAATTTAGAAGTACTCTCATCATCACTACCATCATCATGGATGCTAAATTGATCATTGAAAGACATGATAGCTGAAAAAAATAATTTAATAGCACATAAATTTTGGGTAGCAAACACATAATAAAGAAACTTTTAAATTTCAACCAAACAAAATAAAAGTGAAGCAAACAAGGAAGAACCGAACAATTTTCTCTACATAACATTCAGGAGCATTGCTCGATTAAGATAACAAAAATTTAACAAATACTGAAGCAAAAGGAGGACTCAAAAGATGAAAATTTCACGTACAGAAGGAAGCAGAAAATGTAAGGAATTCTCATATCAATACAATTATACATTGCTAGTCATGAGCAGCTCTTCTTGCCAGTTGTTAAGGATGTCTATCTATTTAAAGGTGTTTCAAGGGAAATGCTCTTGCTTCTGGTTAGAATTCTTGCCTCATGAAGATATCCATATCTAAATATAGATATATTTATTACAGTGACATAGAGACGTCAGCATAATAACCTTTATATTTTTCACCAATTGATCTGGATTCATCTTAGTATTTGCACGTACCCCCTTCTATTTCTTTCCATCCAAATACAGTACACAATAGATGCAAGAGCTAGCTTTTTAACATTATGTGCAAACTTATCTGACTTCCATTGCTAAGCAAACCAGTTGGTCACTTGAGGCCAAGAAGAACTTCTTCTCCTGAAGCCAATCCAACTCATAACATCACTCTGAACACTTTCAGAATATTGGCAATCAAAGATTAGATGTTTGTGATCTTCAGGTTGCAGTTCACAAGGGTACAAATATTTTCTTGAGCTATATCATCTTACATAACTTGTCAAGTATAAGGAGACGTTGCTGGAAAACAAGCCATAGTATAAAAGATTGTTTAGGGAAAACAAATTTATTGCAAACAATAGGGTGCTAGGATTCTCTATGAGATAAAGGAAGAAGATCATTGTAAGCTAGTGATTAACAAATTTACCATTAATACAACACTTATCCATCCTTTCTATTACTCCTGTAACAGTCTCCTATCTATGTGTGTGGTTCATGTACGTATGTGCATATGCAAACAAGCCTACATATGCATTTATACATAAGAGTTCACTCAATTAGAAGGTAAAAGTAAAAATAACGATCAAAATGGTATTTGGATTGGATCAGGTTACACAGATGAAAGCTGAATACATTCCACCTAGAGAAGATGTTATCATGCAAAACGAAGCACCAGACGATGTCTATGTGATCGTTTCAGGTGAAGTGGAAATTATATACTCTGAAGAGGAAAGAGGAAAATGAACAAGTGGTAGGATCCCTAGGCACAGGAGATCTATTTGGAGAAGTTAGTGCATTGTGTAATAGGACTCAAGGTTTTACTTTCCGGACCCGAACGTTATCCCAGCTACTAAGGTTAAAGCACAGCGCACTTAGAGAAGCTATGCAAGCCAAACAAGAGGACAGCATACTTATAGTTAAGAACTTTCTCAAGGTAAAAAAGAAATTTGTTTTCAAATGACTAAACATTATCATATTAGAAATTCAGTTATGTTAACAGAGAATTTGTATATTGCAGCATCAAATCGAATATAAGGATATAAGTCTTGATGATATTCTAACAGAGAACAGAAACCACAATGAAGCAAATATAACTGAATTTTGCTTTTCTATTTATCACAATTGTATACAAAGTGCAACCATGACCTGATTACAAGCACAATAAAAAATAAGATTAGTCCTTACCAATTTATAGTGCCTTGTTCGTATTAATCACAATTGCTAGCAAAGGACTTATATTTCATCAATTTATTACAAAATTTGCAATTAGAACAAAGAGAGGAAAATTCAACAGGAGAGGCTACAATCACAATAATCTGCCTAATCCAAAAGTTATAAACTTTTACTAAAGTCGTGAAAATAAGCAACTATCCATGAAAGAGTGCATGATATGGTTCATAAAATAATTTAGAACAATGAATAACAAAAATCGAAATGCAAAAATTATTGAGTTTTGATAAATAAATAAAAAAGTCTAAGGAGCATTTCATCTAACACTTAGCAAGCAAAACCTATTTGAAGATCACATGGGCGGATTTTACCTTAGTGCGATTTCAAGTGTTGGTGAACTCGGCAATGGCCTTGGCTTCCTCTCTTAAGATCAAAATCGATCTCTGATTTTTTTCATAAAAGGTAAAAACCAATGAAAGGTAGAGAGAGAGATTAGGGTTACCTCAATGAGTTTCAGGCCGTGGCGGCGGAGATGAAGGAGATTCGAGAGAGAGAGATTAGGGTTGAGTTTCAGGCGGTGGCAACGGTGGCGGCGGTAGCGGAGATGAAGAAGGAGATCCGAGAGAGATTGAGGGAGAGAAAAATGAGAAGGGTTTTGGTTTTGGTTTTGGTTTTGGTTTTGGGAAGGCGACGCCTGGCAAATGAACACTTCGGGTTTTGGTTTTGGGAATGCGGGCAGGCAAATGGGTGAATAGACACCGCCCATTTAGTACCCATTTAGTATAGTTTGAGATGAACCTGCCCGATTAGACCCATTTAACTAAATGAGTGGGTTTTGGACGGGCTAAATGATGGGCGGGCAAGGTGGATAAATGGGCATGGGCAAAAATTGCCTTTTCTAAGTGAAGGGCTAGAGACAAAGGAGATGAAAGAATTGTGTGTGGAGTATAAGGCGGGATTTTCTTCCTTGGAAGCAAAGGTTGTGAATAATTTCAAGATGATTTTGATGATACTTCCAGCACTAGAATATGAGAAGCAACATAGAACATATTTTTGGAAGTTTTTTCAAGTCAACTGCAGATTCACATGCTATCAATCCCATAAACATTGTGTGTGAAAGATTTATTCAAAATTTTAATTCAGAAAAAGCCCTAGCCGAAGAGGCAAAACAACAAATGGAGAAAATCAATGCTAATTACAAAGCAGATGTTGATCGTTGCAAGAGAAGAAAAGTGCTTATCAAGGAAGCTGCTATTCAAACAAATATTAGCTCGGGGTTGAGCTTCTTTCAACAAGGGGAGACTGATGTAGGATGCAGAACGAGTAAATTCATAGAAAAGTGAGACCTTCACGAGTCAAAAGCGGATACGGATGAATTATTAACTGGTCGTAGAGAAATAACCATATCTCCTAATCCGCATGGCGGATTTTAACATATTATATATGAAAATCGCCTATATCGACGAGACAGTTAATCAGCTTGACAGAATCCCACAATCCCATCTGTAACACCCGTTTTTAGCAGGATTTCAGATATAATCAGCCTTTAATTTATTTTTATTAATAAAGTTAGAATCAATTTAGATTAGCAAAAAAATTCAATTTTGTTTTAATAAGGACTGATTGGTTCTCTTTATTATAGGGAGTCTTTTAGGTAGTTTTAAATTATTTTTTTCATTTAAGAATTTTGTTCTTAGTAGGAGTAAGCTTTGTTTTTCTATTTAAGAAGAAGGATTGCAAACATCATGAATCAGATAAGTTTTTTCATCAATGAAATTTCTCTTTTAATATTTTCTTCGTGGATTCAAAGTTCTTCGTGGATTCAGGGATCGTTCTTTGTGGATTTAGAGAGCACCCATTGGTGGATTCCGAGATTATCACTTCTACGCTGCGTCACGGTGTTTCCCATGTTCCGCTACTTCAACACTCCATACGTCCTTGTGTCATGACTCAAGCATGTATCATGAGCCTAGAAGAGTAGTTACTAGTAAAATAACAAATACTATATATTGAACGAAGAGAACACCACGAGAGGCGTAGACTTGTAAAATCCATAAAAACCATGTTTAGCACCTCTTGTGTTTATGTTTCATGCACGCATCACGTGCACCAGAAGAGTGGTAAACATGACATATACTGTTATATAAGAAACCTACTAGGGATAGTCAGAGGAATGAGGTTAAGCCATAGTAGAGTCGTAAAGTCAAAGGAAATTTTGGTAGACCACTTGACAAAGGGTCTATCTAGGAGTGCAATCCTAGAATCATCGAGGGGAATGGGGTTAAGCCCGGGTCTATCTAGGAGTGCAATCCTAGAATCATCGAGGGGAATGGGGTTAAGCCCATAGTAGAGTTCACTGACAGCGGGAACCCAACCGGAATGGGGTTAAGCCCATAGTAGAGTTCACTGACAGCGGGAACCCAACCTTTGATTGATGAGTTATTCTCATGGAAAAGGTTCAATGTGGTAGAAACAAGTTGGGTTGGTGATCTCGTGAGGAGCACTGACCTTCGGAGTTATACTCTTTTTATAGTGTTGGATGCATTTATGACTTGTACCATGTTAGCTACACCCTCATTCTTATGGTATAATGCTCTTATGATGTGACTGGGCAGGATAAGTTCTACTCTTAATAAGTTCAACCTTTGTGGGGGTGCAATATCTAGTCACAATACCCTTGGAGGACTTACTTACATAAGAGGAACCGTGACAGCCGCCGTTGGGGACATATGGCTGATTCCTAGTAACTCTCATGAGACAGTCATTGTGAGCATGACCATTAACGCTTCAACCCGCTCACTCAATAAATGGATGCATATTATGTGTGCTTTTGTTAATTTCTGATGAAGGAGAAGGTCTAATCCATTATGCCCCACAGATTGCGACAAATGTCACTAAGCAAAGATTCAAAGCCGAAAACTATCTTTGCCGAATTCACAATATGAGGTTGCGCGACCTATATTTTATTACCATTATTATTGTTTTTTTTTCTTTTATTTCCCGAAACTCAATCTTTTGGGGGATTGTTGGAATTAATAAAAGATTAAGTTCCTTAATGCAAATATGATCTTTTGAGGAGTGTATTTACATAATATTTATTTCTTTCTTTATCTTCTTCTCTATGTTACGTTTTCTCCTAATTAATATCCCAATGATTCCTCCGCTCTCTCCTTTTTTTTCTCCGAGCATAACTTCCTCCTCCTTGATGGCAGCGATTATCTCAACGGGACAATCAATTTGGCTACAAAAGGGGATCTCGATGAAGGATGGAAAAAACATAAGAAAAGTGAGCACTCTCTATTATCTCTCTCATAATTCTCTACAATTTGATTTCTAGTTTTAATTTTTGGGCAAAACATCCATTGAGCAAGAGGCCAAAGTTCGCAATAAACTTTGGTGCCGGCCTTCTCGGGGGTTCTTACCACGAGGCGTGGTCGCATCAAATCATCTCTACGAAGTCGGCGACTATTGTTCTAGGGTAGTGATCACACGATTACCCCTTTTCTCAGGCCTGCGTTTCTAACCTGTTTTGGATTTCTTTTTTTTTTATTTGCAGTGATTTTTCTAACACGAACAATGATATAATGCAACTAAAGTTGATTACATATGAGATCTACTGATGTCAAACGGGTTTAGAATCATATCATAATCGGATTCAAATATCTTTGCAATGCCACCAACATGAATTGCCACTTGGCCAAAAAAAATCTCCATTAATTCATCTGTAGGCACGAAATTAAGAAGATGAAGACGATCTCAAGTCGGATACTTTTAAAGGCAACCCTAGTAAGGGTCGAATAGTATTGGGCTCGACCTTCATGCTGATAGGGCCCGGTCCATGTCCAACAAATTGGCTAGGCATGGGGTGACCGGGCCAATGATTACATGACAGGCTGATTGGCACTAACCTACCACGTAGTTTGCCCATGCTTGCATTTACTTATCTCCATGCTATGTGATCATGAGAATTTTGTTCCAAATTTTTTGATACAACACAACATACTTAATTTATAGCTTTTTAATCATTTATTTTTATTAAACTTATTATTAAACATACTTTGATTTTTTTAAAAGAATTATGACGGTTTGACAGTAAATTCAACAAAAAACATTAAACAATAAAAGATTCTAAAATTAGCTTGTAAGTTTCGCATAGGAAAATTCAGTTCTCACATTGCATTACATAAGTTATTAAAATGCGTCAGTTAGAAATTTTAATGCGTAGACGTGTTGCCAATAGAAGGTGAAGGAAATAATATCAAGAAAACCACAAGGCATCACGCTAATTAGCCTATGAAATGAGAAATATCAAAACCAAGACA